AAACTATACATTTTGTTCGCTATAATTATGTAGTCATTGATAAACTTATAAAAATCATTCTTTTCTTCATTCAGTAAATCAAAGAAAAATAGCCATGCATATAACATTGAATGTTTTGGCAGATTATGAGTTTCTTTTTGATGTTGACACTTGTGATGAGGGTCACAATATAGAAAGAATATAAAGAATGTTTGTCTGGAGCTCTGCAAATGCTCTTTTAAATAATTTTTGTTCTAGGGACAATAATAATATTACAAGTAACAAATTAAGCAAAAAAAAAGAAAACTTCAAACATTCAGCTAAATTTTGTATCAGTAACCTATTTTTCTGAAACTATTATTTGATTTTTAAATCTATTGTTTGTATCTAATTTATTTGCTTGTTTGTACTTATTTGTTTCTTATTTATGTTTAATTGTTTTATTTATTCATCATAATTATTTTATTTATTCATCATTTAATTATAATTTGTTTAATTATTGTTTGTTTCCTAATTCAGTTGTTACTGTATTTGAGTAATAATCTCTTAATGATTACAAAAATTGTAACTTTACGGAATAATTATTAAAATTGAAATAAAAACATGCAAATTAAAACAATGCTTATTAGAATTTATAAAAAATTTCAAATGTGAAACAAAAATAAATCATGAACGAATTTCAGTCTTAAAATTATCTGTCTGTAACCTACTTTTCTAAAGTATTATTTGAATTTTAAATCTCTTTTTTGTATCAAATTTATTTACTTTCTTGTATTTAGTTTATTTGTTTCTTATTTATCATTTACTTGTAATTTGCTCGTCTGTTTCATAATTGAGTTGTTGCTGTAGTGTAAGAATCATTAAATACTTACGATATTGTAACTTTACAGAATAATTACTAAAATTAAGATAAAAACATGCAAATTAAAACAATACTGATTATGATTTTAAAAATGTTTTCAAATTTGAAACAAATTTCAGTCTTTAAAATTTAATGAAATGTAACATGATGTTTAATTTCTTTACTTTAACAAAACATTCAGCAACATTTTTTTTTCTTATCGGTTATTTTTTTTTTTAAATTAATATGAAATAAATTTCTGTATAAAATCTAATTCTGTTTCCTTCTTTTATAAATGTATTTTTAAAAAGTTTTCTAAAACCAATTGTTTTTCTTACAATTTTTCGTTATATTATGATTACTGTCTGTTTCACTGCATGGGCTACATTTGTGACGTCACGTCACTATCGAGCAGGCCTTCTATATCGGTGGTCACAGTTGAGCACCGTCGTAAACCCCGGAATCAATCGGATTTCCTTCGCGAGTGTCAATCGGCCTTGAGGGCCATTCCTCGGTCCAGTGACAGTTCTCGGCATAAGAGAGTCTTCTATCGAGGACTAGTGGAAGGGGTCGCGAAGGATCCGCTACGTGAGCGACTCGACTTGTCGGGGGAGGAGTTACGCTCCTTCTGGTCTTGGGCACTAGCTGCGGATTACCTCAGCAACCCTGAGTTTTTCCTATGGGACTATGTCGGCGAGTTGACGGCTCGTATTGCTCCCGAAAAGCTCACTGATCGTGCGTACGCATGTGACATTGTATCGCCCCATATTCTGGGGTGAAACGGATGGTGTTTCTATCGCTGCTGGCCACGGCCCGAATGATGATTTGGACGACGCGTCAGAAGGAGGTCTTGTGAGGCAACCGTCTTCCTCAACACGACCTGATCCGATTTTTTTTAGCACCAACTCAAAATGAAGTTTAGATTGATAATAAAAAAAAAACGGTTGGCTTCGACAGATTTCAGCGAAAGGTGGGTGACTGAGGCGAGCTTGGTTCGCGTGAAAGAGGCTAGCTTTGATTTTCTTTTTTAGGTCCGCCTAAGTTACATCGGAGTGGTTTCCTGTTGAGCCCTCCCCTAGTTAGGTTAGACTACATTTTGCGTACCTAGTTAATATGAGCAAGTGTTGTTCTTCGGCCTGTTCCCGGCTGCATCTTTTATTATGATCCAAGTTGAGATTCCCAACCTCCCCAGTTTTCATTTCGACTGCGTCAGATTTTTTTTCTCTCCCCTTGGCAGTGTTTATTTTACCCTTTCCCTCTCCCTTAGCGAGAGAGTTTCTTGATTCTGTCTAAAGGCAGAATACAGCGGCCTCTTTTTTTGAGGGCTGGACTGGTCCAACTAACATCAGTTATCTTTAATTTATTTGTTTTGATATTTTAGTTTTTTTTTTTTATGTTTTTTGTTCATCCCCTCCTCTCTCATTTTATTACAAATTTTTATGTATAGTATTTTATAATCATTAAACTTTTATGTCATATGGTGCATTTTGTAGGTCCCCCTGAGAGTATGTGGTATTATGGCATATGGAGGATTGATTGGCGATGGATGAGTTTTTGTGGTGAATGTGTCAAATGTAACGAATGAATGGGTCGTGAATCGGATTAGCTAGGTATAGGATAGTAAGTGACGGCCAGCTTCAACCCCATTTTCGGCCTTGTGGTACAATTGTGTATTTTACGCAATAAATCATGTGAGAACAAAAGCTTGCTTCAGTTAGACCAGAACTGTTCGTGAGAATTGTAGCTAAAGACAGTGAAGTTGAATAAACCTTTCTTGAATACATACTGAATCAGAAAATTCAACATACACAACAAAAAGTTGCATCAACTACTGTGAAAATCTTTATAACAAGTAATGTAAAAAATAACATTTTTCTCACATATTCACTCAAATTCAAATAACAACCTTTCCAACAAAATACTGACACGTTCCACAAGGGAAAAAATATTCCATTACAATCACAAATTTATAATATTACATAAATTCACATAGAAACTTTAGCCATTGTTAAATTCAATCTTTTTGAATTTATTAATTTTTAATTCTATTTCTTCTGTGAACAATCACAATTAAAGGCAGATAACTTCGTTCAATTATAAAAAAAATATCAATTTAATTTACTGATCTGATGTATAATAGTATTTGCAATTCAAAACTGACTTACAAGAAAAAGAAATCAAAAACATCCAAACCAGAAGACATTTCCTGAAATAATTCTGTTGTAAAAAGCATTTTTGATCTTTTAATAACAAAAATAGTGAACTTTTTTCTCTCAGCAAACAACAAAGAGGAAAAACACAAAAACCTTTTCAAAAGATACTTTTTTATTTGAATATTTTATTTCAGCACGGCCTAATTGTAAATTCCTGTATATAAATTCTAATATTTCCATTTTCACATATGAAAGAAAGAAGTCTTTTTGTCATTTTTATCAAATGTTGGCGGAAAGCAAATTAAAAAGTTTTTAAGAGTTTTTCTTCACGCAAATTGATCAAATTCAATGAACTAAAAAGCCTTCTTAATGATTCTTTGAATAATCACCTAACAACTCTGCAACACATCCTCATGGTTGATAAAGAATGCTGGTAAATTTATCTCAGCAACCAGTGCCATGTAACCTTTATTTTTGTTTTTTTATTTTTTTATCTGAGGTTACTACTTGAAGAGAAAACGGATACTGCAAAGAACACCTGCAATTCCAGCAGGAATTTGAGTCTGTATTCTTCTACCTAAAAGGCGAGAATTGTCCGCTTTTAAGATAAGAAGTTACTTTTCTTAGTTTTCTTCAATCACATGTCTAACTAAAAAAAAAAAAGGTCTAGCGTAAAAAACAATTTAGTGACAGAAAATTAAAATAAAAGCTGGTGTAACGTTATGGTTATAAAAGTCAGAGAAAAAAAAAACTAGTGTAAAAAGATATAAATTAATGAAGGGAGAAAAAATTCTCATGTAAAAAAAAAAATAAAACGCTGAATAAAAAAACAAAAGGATATAAAAAAAAAAAAAAAAAAGTTATGGGGAAAAAAATCGGCCTCAATCGACAAGGTTTAGGGGAGAAAAAATTAAAAGTTAAATCTGAGAGGAGAATTAAAAAAATCTTGAAATGGAAATTTGTCCCGGCTTTCCTACATGGAAAGGATGAAGGTTTCGTTTGTTGCAGATCCATGGAGGGGCGCGATTGGGTTGGTGCATAATTATCAGGCGTTTATATAGGCGAGTTATTTGTTAATAAAAATTGCTATTTTGTTTACTTTTTTTTGATAAAAAAAAAAAAATATTTTATTTCAGGTTATAAAAATGAGTGTCAACAATCATACGTTCCAGAATAATCATTTTAAAAGCGTTATTGTTGAATTGCTATGTTTCTTTTCTTTTCTTTTTTCATAATATTGTTTAAAAAACACCTGATAATTATGCACCAAGCCAATATTGCATATACTGACAACAAAACGACAAACTTAAATTAATACAAAATTTATTTACATCATATACAAAACTAAAATAGTGTTACGGTTGTACCGAAAAGAAACATGAACGAACAATGAATCAAGTAAATGGAGGAAGAATTAAGTAAATTGAGGGATACTGACCTGATAGAAGAACATGTGACTAAAAATGTTTAAAAAAAAAAAAAAAAAAAAAAAAGTAGACTAGTCCCGGTAAGTTAAGTTGCCCAGAAAAGCCAAAGTTCGAAAGTTCAATAAATGTCCGGTGAAAGCGTTTAGTTACTAGTTGAATCCAACGATGAACCTTCCGTAACCCTAGTGAACGAATAGGTTGTTAGAAGTTTGGACAATAGGTTGACTGTTGAGAGAATCGATGATGGACTCTAATTTTTACTACAAGACTCGAGTCCATCATACATAAAATAGGGAGTTGCTTTTCATTTTTCAATCAACCCGTAAGTGTAGTTGACTTCCTTTTAACCACCTAATTTTTTTTTTCAGTCTTCTATTTTTTCTAGTTTCAGTACGCGTACGCTAGACTTTGTTTTTGGTTGAACATATTTCTTCCCCCGTCACACGTACGTGCGTTCTTTTAAATTTAATATTTTTAAAATTAGTCCTTACCTTTTTGTTTGATATTTGTCTTTAAAAAGATAAGTACTGTTTGGCCTTGAATTAATTTAAAAATCTTTAGTTTTTTTTTACTTTTTAGTGTGGAGAAATGTTTTGAAAAATGGCCGCACTCGTGTTTTGAGACGCCCGGGAATAGCCCTTTCGCTGGAAGTCGCCCTAAATGCCTTATCAATCTTGAGGAGTTCTTAGAGCAAAAAGCTATGCCCATCTCATGGACTTTTGGTAGACTTTCGAGAACTAGAAAAGTTAAAAACTCTCTTTCACTCAGACACACGTGGACGTTCAAAACGTTTCTTCACGAAACACTGGTAAGTTCCAAAAACGGCACCGTTTTTTTTTTTTTTTTTTTCCATGTGTGGACATTACTCACATCGGGAAACTGTATGGCCATAATGAACTTACAACGAAAAACCTGATAATCAGAAGAACATAGTACGAGAGAAGACGTAGGACCAACGTAGTCGTATTCGAGGGCCATTTTCAGTCCCACATAAACGGGGAGTGGAGTTTTGATATAGTTGAATGAAAATCCTTTATTTACAGTGTAACCTGGATATGAGAGAGTTGTCGGGACCGGAGAAGAAGTCTCTTATATCCGGGTTTCTCTTATATCCGGGTTTGGTCTATTTTGTTTAGATAAGTATAGGAACACTGGGACCAGAGAAAATCTCTCTTGTATCCGGGTTACACTGTAGTTCCATTCTCAACTGTCTTGATGTTGGAAACCAGAATATGCTGGTCATTGTGACCACACGAAAAACAACATTTTGAAAGTGTGACTAGACTGGTCACCTCGTTTTTCCTGCCCAGAGAAGAAGGCCTCTACTAGAGTTCCGATCACCCTAAGCACACACCAAAATCTCCCTTGACTGGGATACTCTTAGATATGTAGCATATATAATGGTCGTGCCTGCAGCAGGGCTCAGAGTAGTAAAAATCCCGGTTACGGATGGCATTTCCCAACAGTACTTCACCTACCACAATTGCTGATGGGGGGAAAAGAAGAATGGCAAGTTGTTTGTAGGGGCAGAGAGAAGCTCCAGATATCAGGGCCTCAATCCCCTGAAGCCTTAACATTTTACTATCTATGAATTGTCATGCCTTCTTGGAAAAGACAATGAAGTCATTCCTGTTACCTTCTGTACAGGTTTTCTCTTAGATGTATCTTCGATTGGTGTCTTCAGACATTGTGTATGTCTACATATATATATACACACACACACACACACATATATATATATATATATATATATATATATATATAATTTTCCCTGACAATCCGCTTAGGTGAAACCTGGGTAGGTTTGTCTGGCTTACTAGGTTTATCTAGGTCTGCTCTACGGTTGTATTGAGCTCTTTTAGTTAGTTGTTTACTCGTGTCGGGGTTTTTTCTTTGGGCTTTAAACCTGTATCTATGCGATTTTTTTCGTCCGACTTTCATGTTTCTAGCTCTTTCTTTTTTTAAAACCTTTTTTTACTTCGAGATTGATTTGATTATTGGCAAAACAAAAATTCGAAGGTTTTTCGAGACAAGTATAGTTACCTATATATATATATATATATATATATAAGAACCTAAAAGAAATCATAGGTAGTAACCACATTTCAGGGGAAAAGGTAATCCGTAATGAACTAAGAACAAAAACAACAGGATTTTCCCAACCATGTAACAACAAAAGAAGTTTATGTTGCAACCATATTAAAAACATGAATTCATTCACTAGCTCAATCACTAAATCTACTTTCAAAATCTACCACGATTCTAACTGTAGAAGTCATAACATAATTTACCTCCTAGAATACACACTATGCCAGAAACAATATGTAGGGAAATCTGAATGGCCCTTTCACTACAGAATTAATAATTATTGTAAACGAATTAAATCGACTCCCCATGAAAAATTATTACCTGTAGAACAACATTTCCGCCTGGAAAAACATGATTTCAAAACCCATGCCAAATTCACTATAATTGAGAGAATAGAAAAGTTCAGAGCAGATAACATTAGAAAGACTTTAGAGTCCCATGAAAATAAGTGGATACAACGTCTAAAAACAAAATGCCCAGCCGGGCTAAATCATAAATTTAACAATATGTAGATAGTCAACAAATCAAAACCTACCCACATTTCTCACCCACACAAGACACAGGCTTACGGAGGTGTGGAGGCCTCACACTTATACACACACCCACACGAATATACACACTTACACACATCATACTCACTCACTCCCTAATGAGCCAAATGATAACACACACCTACAGCAATACACACGCTTACACATATCATACTCACTCCCTCCCTAAGAACCAAATAACACACACACACAAACACTAAACAGAGACACATCCCCTCACTAGGTCCAATAAAACTGTCAAACTGACCAGAGAATTCAGAATAATATGTATCTATCCAGCTCTTATCTCAAATAACAACTTAAAAGAGACTGTTTGACCAACACGAGGAATGTTAAGATTCATGTTAAAAAAAAAAAAAAATGAAAACTACAGACAAAAGTTCATTTTCTCCATCAAGACATTCATTTCTGTAGTTCACTGCTACCAGCAAGCAGAAATATTTCTCCTCCCGAAGATGGCCATTTTGGTTGAAACTAGTCGAGGAATCTAAATGGAATAATAATAAAAAAAACGAAAGAATATTAATCTACAACCCAGTGTGTCTAAAGATTTTAATTTTTTATTTTCTTATTGTTCAAAATATATACACACACAGTTGTTAATATCTAATTATTTGATTTGTATCCACATTTGCAAGACAAACACTTTTGGGAGTTCTAGTTTAAAGTGTCTTTCATGTCTGGACCTGACTATAAATGTTTTAAAGTAATATGAAACTCCTTTTTAAAAAGTAGTAAATTAATGCATTTACAGACAACTAGGCCATAACAAGTGTTCAAAACAAGAAAGCAATTGACCTTTTATGAGATCTGCTACAAAGAATTAGGTTTTATTTTTTTGTATTTGTAATAAAGTCATCCTTTCTTTTTAATCTAATGCATATTTTGAAACAAATACAGACAAAAATTTTAGTCTTTTGACTAAAAAAAAAAAAAAAACAATTTCTGTCTGAATTTCTGAGATGATGACTTTTCATGATTTACTTCATTTACTATGAGACTGATGTCCTCATTTTTCTCATGTTTCAGCCATTGTACTTTCTCCAGATAAATTTTTTTTTGGGGGGGGGTCTGTCAATCCAAGTAACTTTCAGGAAATTTTGAAATTAATCCTTGATTCAAGCTACAGTGGTGTAGATCTCATACACCTGTCCATGTCTAGGGATGACTTTGTTTTTTGTGTTTTTTTAGTACATATCTGTAAGTCTACCATTCACCCATGCTTAGAATATTGCTATCACATATGGTTCGGTGCCCCTGCTATTTGCCTTGATCTCCTTGATAAGATCCAAAGAAGAATCGGCAATATTATTGGTCCTGATCTGGCGGTTCGGTTTCAGTCACTTTCCCGCCACTATAAGGTTGCCTCCCTATGCCTTTTCTTTAAATACTTTCATGGTGATTGTTCCAATAAGCTCTGTACTTAGATGTTTTAAATTTAAGGGCATCGAGATCTTAACAATTTACATTTGAACTGACTAGATGTAAACATAAATTCTATGCTAACAGTTTCTTTTCTCATTTGTGGAACTTCCTTCCAGCCAACTATAATACACAAAAATTTAAATGCAATGTCAATTGCTATTGACTGCCCTCTTGATTACTTTTTCCTCTTCCTGCTTATTATTAGTGTTTCTGTTCCTAATTCTTCCACACCCTGTAACCCCCTTGTGGTCTTAATGGCTTTACTAACTTATAGAGGGTGATACTGAATTTTTTTTTTTTTTTTAAATTCTAGTCAGTTATTGCTCACCCTGTTTACAGAGTCTGGGTCTGTACTACCTGGCCCAGAGGTTAAACTCACAATGCTACCAAATTCTGGAACCAATACTTTAATCCACTCCTACAAATGTAAATAAGTCACTTTTCATCAAATTTCATATTTAGACATCTTAGTGGAGTAATGGAAGAATCAGAGAGCCGAATTCGTATTCCAGTCAAAACCATTACATTCACTTACATGCTAATACACTTGAGAAAGGTATTAATCCTCTTCTTTTTCCCCCAGCTATGGGTAAATAGTAGGATAGACTGGGTTCTATATCCTTGGATGGCAACCAGTCCACTGCAGAAAGAAATGGCAATCTACTGCAGAACAAAATCTGCCTTATCAGTCATGTATTGAAAGATACATGATCGCCTAAGCATGTATTATGCATGGCACATATCTGACTGAATGATCTGCAATTATTTGCAATTTCCTTTTCCTTTTGAATATCTTTTTAATCTTGAGTAGACAATTTTTATTAACACATCAATGTCTAATTGAGGGTCATCCTTTTGAAAAACAAGGTTTATTAGATTTTGATACTGAACAGTTGTTTCACTATATTAAAGATTTAAAATTGTTGCAGGGCTGGTGAAAGATTCTTGTGCTCCCCACTCCCAAATCTATGATATACCCCATGCACACTACTACATCTCAGTTTTCATAAGGTAGTATTATTTGTATAAAATACAAATTTTATTGTAACCTAATTATGTACAATAATGCATTATATGCAATATAGGTGAACAATTCAACTAGAAAAATACTAGACACATGTCATAATAGATCATTCCATCTTAAATAAATGTCATAATAGATCATTCCATCTTATATAAAATTTACTACTTTTTTTTTCAATGTTTTTCCTGCAATTTTTTTTTCAATGTTTTTCCTGCAATTTTTAACCTCAATTTGAGAATTTTAATACATTCAATATTATAAGTAAAAAAAAAAAAGTAGTAAATTTTATATAGTGCTTTTTGAGACTTAGCATGAGCAAAACAAATTCATGGATTTGAACAAAAAAAAATCCCAGAATGACATCAAAATCCTAAAATCCTTCATCCTTTAATAATCAGTTGTATTTAGTTTAATTTGTAAAGCATATAAATGTAGGTAGAAAAAGCAAATGTTGATACGATAGTGAGCATCACAAAGCACTACATAGGACACGCAATTAAGCTGCTACACCCCGTTTAAGGGCAGTATGAACCAGCACTGATCTTCTGTACTCTTGAAATCTAGGACACGGATGAAAGTTTTGAATATATTTCTGCTCAAGTTCTTTCATTTACATTACCTGCTTTGTTTGCAATTAATTTCTTATTAGTTTATATTGTCTATTATGAACTATACCAAAATAATACCTATATAATATGACAGGTTTATGTATATATGTATCAGCACTTCTGTATAGAATCAGAGTGTAGTATCTGTATTGCTTTCTAAAAAGTTTTTAAATAATTTCACCCCAAGCAAGACAATAATGCTACTAAGGCATGGTGGGAGGGGGTTACTGGGAGTGGAAAAGAATAAGAATATAGTGAGAATAAAGGACAATAAAAGAACCAAATTCAGGAATCCAGAAGATGGAGATTGACATTGCGTTTAAATTTTTGAAGATTGGAAGTGGGAAAGCAAGAAATCTGAACAGTTCCACAAGTGAGAAAAGAAACTATTTAGTTACATTTAGATATTTCAATAGTAAAAGGATGAGACCTAGTGGCCAATTTAGTAGCATACTTAATTTCATGTGATTGAGGTAGCAAGGAGGAGAGCTCATTAGAACAACTGCCATGAAAATATTTAGAGAAAAAGATGGAGGGAGGTCACATCATGACAGTGGGAAAAAAAATGATTGAAGCTGAGATGCCCGCTCAGGACTGATAATATTACAGACACTTTACATTTCTATACACAAATATACAGGGTGACCCCAAAAAATGGGAATTTTTGAAGTGCGTATTGCCAGACATGAGCAAGTGACAACACTGCGAGACAGTGACCTTGAGCAAGTAAACATTTCGCTATTTAGAATTCAAGATGAAATTCACAGTATCCCAGCTGAGATGTTGCAGCAGTCAATGAGGAATCTCAACAGTAGATTTCAAGAATGCATTTGTACAGGAGGACGCCATCTACAGGACGTAATTTTAAAAAAAATGAAAATTCCATCATTGTTTCTTAAATGGCATGTTTTAAGGTTTCAATTACTATGAATAAAATATTTTTCTTCCATCACTCTTGGTTTTATTGGATTGTTAAAAAGTTCCCATCTTTTTGGGGTCACCCTGTATAATTATTAATCTTTTTCTAATATTGCTATTAAATATACATTTTTCTTTTATATTTCTAGCCATTATTTTTTTGGCTATTCTATTAAAAGTCTGTGTGTTTTTATTTATATATATATATATATATATATATATATATATATATATATATAAACTCAGTGGGTGAAAAAACCTGGACAGCACATTAATTTATTTTTAATTCCTTTAAAAGATCTTTTTTATCACATAAAAAATAACATTTTCAATAATACTAATGTTTGTTTTTTGAATATGTTAAATAAAGGAGAAACATATATTTATTAAGCTTATGATTGTTTAGGCTGACATGAAGCCACAAATGTAAAGATAGAACTTATGACAGGTTTGTTGGACTAGTGTGTGAACCATTGATCGATGGTAAGATGATGGACACACACACACACACACACACATATATATATAACTTAATGTATTCTATACATTACCTATTCCTAATTATTCCTTCCCAAAATCTATATAAATTTGTCACTTAAAACAAAGAAATAAACAGTAAATGATAGGACATAAGCTATTTTGAGGCACACTTTGTTTTCAACATCATTGAAATTAAATGATCCAAACTGCCAATTTCTAACTGTTCAACAAATTTCAAATGTCAACACCTCCTTCCAAGGCCATCCTGACCCTTTGCGTATAAATATTAACATAGGCACACATTCCTAAATAAATATACAAATCCTACTTCAAATAAATGCTCCTCTGTATTCAAGCCATTTGAAAATGGGAGCTTTCAGCGGAAACATGTTAGGCACGTCTGCTGTTTTCTTTGTAACTGGGTCCTTTTTAATATTTTTATGCAATACTTATGGATTAGTTGATTCTAGATCAAATCTTTTTATCCAAACAATCCCAAATACATCTGAGTATATAAATCATCATCAGATTTTGAAATCATCATTAAATTTTAAGCATGTATCTGCTGCCTTGAATGACCATGTTAATATGGCCACTCAACTGGATATCTCACAGGAAAGCAGAGGACCAAACAAAGCAGAGTTTCAGGTGCAAGGACATCACTCTAAGGACAAACTATTTCACCTAAAACAAAATGGAAGGTTATTTGGTAAAAAACAAAGAAAGAAGACCATATCAAGAATAAAAAGAAACTCGGTAAGCAGGTGAACATTTTACTTTTTTTTTAATAAGATTTATATTTTTTTTAAATTAAGTACAGAGTTTGCCATAGAACAAGAGTTAGCACATTAACATTTCAAGACATTGAATGTTGTTTCTTTACTGAGTGTTCCCTGAATATAACCATGGTCCAAAATTGCTTTTGTTTAATAAATATTAAATAAACTACAAAATAATATCATTGAATTTTGAGTTCAAAAATCTCATATATATTTTTATACACAGGCACATGCATTATAAAATGGACAAAGTCCGACAATTATTTTTAAGACATTTTTTTATGTTTATGCGTTCTTTTTATAGATACAAATATTTAAGTAAATGCTCTGTTTATAATAAATAAATTTCAGATCGTTAAATGTTGTTAATACTGTTTATTATAAACAGAGCATTTACTTAAATATTTGTATCTATAAAAAGAATGTATAAACATAAAAAACACAGGCACATATATTGCGGATGCATTTCTAATGATATTCTTTTTATAGTTACATGCAAAAGTATTTGCCATGTGAAATTTTTAAAAGTCTTTCTTTTTAAGAAAAACCTAATTTCTAATGTAGCTACAAACATAAAAATTGAGTTGATGATAGTAAATAGGGTATTATATAACTAAGCAAAAATAAGGATTTTTCTTTTTTCATCTATGCACAAATTTATTGGGGAAAATTAACAAAAACGTACGATCAAAAGAATTGGACACTCATCGATAAACTGCATTTAACATTTAATATTGTGCCTCTGATTTGCTATAAAAGCAATCAGACATTAAGAATAATTTGAAATAAATTTGTCAGAAATTAACTCCAATGATAGTAAATTGCTCAAATTATATATAATAAAGAACACACATCTGGCTGCATAGTGTTTGCTATGCCAGGGTAATATGGTTTTAAATTCTGTTATTCTTCTCCCAGACTACTTCCGAGAGAACCCATAGCAGGGGTGGGGAATGGATTCATACCTTTCCCAAGGGCATTTGTGTAAAAATGAATGCAACGAACTTGACAAAATTTGAACTTAGGTTGCTGGTTTCTCATTTCTAGCTTTTAATCAATACACCACCTGCACATTCTTTATTTTATAATAACAATATAATACATTACAATATGAGGCATTGAAAATTTCTTAGTCTAACCTACTTCCCAAAATCTAAACAAACATCAGAACTTATTAGATTCAGCTCAAGAAATTTTCCACACCCTTCATATTAGAAAGAGTGATACACACATGGACAAAATTAATATTGTATGGAGCCAATGTTTTTCTTAATTCTGACATGAACAATCCTTGAATGATAAAAGCATAATGTTAAGATACTGGAAAAACAAGAGAGTTACAAACACACACACTGTTAAATCTCATGCTATACAATAATAATAAAAAAAAAATATTTTTTGAAATCTTGATTAACAAGATGAACCCCCATTTTTTAAGATTTCAGATAAAAAAGTTCCAGACATTGAGAAGATATCTGGTGTTATGGACAGACTATGGTCAGCTTTAAACTATGGATCACTGACAGGTAAGGAAAACTAACCCTTTTTGTGCATCTTACTCAATTAATTTCTATGGTAAATAATATAAGACAATTTTTAAAAAAGTTGTTTGCTACCAATTACACAGCTTTTTCTTTTTATGTGCTGTGTCCTTTCAGGATCTAGGTGATCATGGCTCTCCAAACCCCTATCCCTTGTGGCTCTCAATAAGTTTCATGCTTCTGCCAATTCCTTCAGACCACATTCTACTATCCACTTGCTTAAGCCTGCCAGGTATTGCTTTCCCTTGTCTCTTTTTCCCTCTAATCGACCTGTGAGTATCAGATTCTCCAGGCCCTCCTTTCTCATTACGTGACCCAGAAATTTCATCTACCTCTTCCTTATGTTAAGTATAAGCTTCCTCCTTGTTTGCACCTTTCCAAGACCTCATTGTTGCTCACATGCTCGGTCCATGATATCTTTAGCATCCTTCTGTAGAACCACATCTCGGCTGCCTCGAGTCTCTTCTTCATCTTTGAGGAGACCATCTAACATTCACTACCATAAAGGAGCAATATCAGAAAAAATGGTTTTATTTCAAGTAAGTCTACATTAGTAAAACAGAATGTAATCTATGTTAATTTATGTTAATTATACGAAGGCCTTTTTTTTCTTTATCATTTTTCAGATTCGGTTTGAAATTAGATTGTATGTCACTGTCCCCTGCAATTAATATCCAGGCTATCTCAGTTTTTCAACTGTTCTTTCTAAATTGGTGTTGAAATAATAATGGGGGATACAACTAAACTTAAAACAAATTAATATAGGCATAAAAGCCATATTGAAATTAGTAAAACTTAATCATAAATGTAATGCAGCTAAAGTAATATATATATATATATATATATATATATATATATATATATATATATATATATATATATATATATATATAGCATTTATATAATTAATAAAAATCACATTCTGTCTCACTAATATAGATTTAGTTATAAAATCTGTTTTTCTGATGATGCTGTTTGATAAGCAAAACTTGACAAAATAATTTTTTCCAGATAGTTTTATATGTTCTCAGATTTTCATCCAGATTTAAATCCTTTAATTTTTTTATATATAATAATAAAAATTTCCCCACTTGAAAACTCAGCCTTGTGTCACATCTTGCTGTGTGGGGCAACAAGTAAATAATTATAATAACAAAAATACTAATGAAACTGACTTAGAATGTCAGTTATCAGTTATCTCCTTGGAGAGGGGAATTAACAGGAGATAACTGATAACTGACATCCATTAGACATGGCACCTGGAACTAGAACAGTCTACCCCAGTAAGCGAAATAAAGGGTTCAGTTCAACATTCCAACCACCCGAAGAAGGCCAGAGTGTACAACGGCCGAAACGTTGTGATAAATATGGCAACAAAGACGAGGACAATAGTCCGAATAATGTAAGTAGTGCAATTGTACATATTCACACATACACACATGTAATGTTTGGTTAAAGACCAATGAAAAATCTTTAAGGCATCATTTTCTTTTTTTAATAATCATTAAGATCATTATTCTAGTTCAGCTACTAATCACACCAGATTGTGTTTCCTTGCAGAAATCATAACTTAGATCTGTTCAGCATAGTTGCAGTATGAACCACAGATGTGCCTGAGCATGCATTTGCAACAGGGATTAACTAGCCATACTAGTAGACTCAAAGGTTTCCCAGACAAATGACTACAAGTATTTATATATAATATATATATAAAACTAAAAGTAACTGCTAAAATCACTGGATTATAAATTTAATTATTCTTTATTATTATTTTAATATATGTATATAATATATATGATTTTTATATATATATATATATATATATATATATATATATATATATACAAACACACACATATATATATGATGATAAAATAAAAAGAACAAATAGGAAACATATTTCAATCTAACATTTTTGATTTTTATTTAAGCTTCATCATAGATTGAGCGAAAACACTGGTATTTTCAATTATGTTTGGGTCAGTTCTTGTTGGTCAGACACATGTCTTAAAACTGTCTAACCAATGAGAACTATACCAAACATAATTATAAATAACAGTGTTTTCTGTTTTCTCTCAATCCCTGATGAAGCTTTAATAAAAGTGAAACATGTTAGATTGATATGTTTCCTATTTGTTCTTTATTTTATCATCCTGCATGTAATTTTTAATTCATATATATAATTTGTGTAATAGAAATATAAAATTTGAAATTTGTGACTTAGGTGGTTGAGGGTATATATTCAGCACCCCAACTCCAGGGTTTCGTAGACAAAGTTTTGTGTAAACATTCAGTCCACTCATCAGAAGGTATCAGCAATTATCTTCAGATTTTCTCATTTTCATTATTTTTATCTTAAGTTAGAAAAAAATTCATTGGTCATTAGTGTTAGGTTGAATTTTTTTTTCTTCTTTTTATGCATGTGCATGCACATACCTGTACGTGTGTGTAATGTGCACATTTATATGATGTCATGGTTATTTATTCTTTTTATAATTTTCTTGTCTCTTTCTACTCTTATTCCTTTTCTTCTTTTTTTTTTCTACCTTTCAGCTTTGAGTCTGAAAAGATAATGTAACAATGTTATTTCCAGTATCAGCAGCAGGACTTATTTAGCCTAATTTTTCTTGAATATTCTGGGGATTTTTAAGTTTTTGAAAATGTAGGTGTATTCTATTTTTTATATTTTTGTTTTAAATGACGTTTTTTTATTATTAGGAAAATTATTTTTCAAAATAAATTAGGACATTGCTGATGACTAAAACTCTTTGCTTTTCCTTCTAACTTTAATTTCAGAACTTCACAACACGAAAATAGTGACTTCTCCTCCTCCTCCTCCTGCAGAAGTAAACTATTGGGCAGTGATTAAAGAGAAAGTCCATAATGGAGTGCTATTTGTGGAGATTGGTGGTTGTCTCACAGCTTCCAATGTTGCGACTGATTGGAGTTCAGATTCTGTTGTTATTTCACTGCTCTTCAAAGGTTGTATGACAAGCATAGAATATTGTTCCTCTTTTGAGAATGCCACAAACATATTTGGTTACCACAAGACAACTTACTATGAATCCTAAGAATCCCCTGCAATTAATATCCAGGCTACTTTAGTTTATCCACTGTTCTTTCTAAATTGGTGTTGAAATAATGGGGATAAAACAAAACTTAAAACAAGTTAATATAGGAATAAAAACCATATTGAAATTAGTAAATCTTAATCATAAGTGATGCAACTAAAGTAATGTGTGTGTGTGTGTATTGGTATAATAGGAAAGAACTGTTAGATTGATGATCCAAAGTTTTTAGTATTTTTGGTTTTATTTTTAAAAACAGTGGTCGATACAGAAGAAGAGCCTAGATTGTAATTATTTTTTTTAAAATATGATTCCATCGCAACATAGAAATTACTATGTTTCAAAACTGGTCAGCGGTATTCAGGTCAAAACTCTAATTGAGTAAAGCATTCCATAGCATAGTTATCCAAACCTAAATACTGCTGACCAGTTTCAAAACATAGTAATTTCTGTGTCGCGATGGAATCATATTTTTTTAAAAATAATTATTTTATATATATATATATATATTGGAATTCATTCCGAATTATATCTGCTCTACTTTGTATTGAGCACTCTTTTAAGAATAGTAATTGTTGGTTATTGGAATTCATTCCGTATACACCAATTATATACTTGGGTGTATATATATATATATATATATATATATATATATATTCCAGCATTCATATAATTAACAAAAATCACATTCTATCTCGCTAATATAGATTTAGTTATAAATATTATTCAGAAAATATCTAATATGCTAAATATTATAATTGTAATCATTTGAAGTCTTTTTCAAGTTATTGAACTCATCCTTTTAAAGTTACTACAATGTGACTCTTCTACAGCCTTAATAATCTGTAAGAGTGTCTGCCTACAGAGATGCAATGTGACACAAAGCCTTTTTAATGTGAAAATCTATACATATATGTGTATAGGGAAATTCAAAATTTGCCAGATTCCATTGGCATGTTGCTACAAGCTGTATGGTATGTCTACAGCCACTATTTCTTTTAATGCAGTTGGGAAGTGCTGTCTAGAAGAGAGATATCAGGAATTTGGCATCAATATATTGTGCATATCTTGTCGAAAGAAAGTGAGGAAGTCCAGAAAATGATAATCAGTATAAATCTACTGATTGAATGAACGAACCCATTCACATCAACATATATAAAAGGAATTCATATTCCCAGTGAATTTTTTTTTAATTATTACTATAAACATTATTTTTAGTGAGTAAATGTATTCGAGTTAATATCTCTATTGTTTTAAACAGTGAAACCAATGTCAATCAGTATAGAAAAATGTTCCCCTTAACCAGAATTGAATCGGTATTCCCCTTTTCCATCAAGGAAACTACTTCTATAGCTGAAGTATACCCTTCAGTTACACCAAAGAAAACCATAATGATAAAGCAAGTCTCAGTTACCAACTGTAATACAGGTGATTTTTTTTTTTTTTATATATATGCATATAGCTCTAGTAAAGATCCACATACCACAGAAAGCTATGGCAGCTGACTGTGAGAAATCTTCTGTTTAGTCAGTCATGAATTGAAAGAAACATGATCACCCAAGCATGTAGTACTTAACTAAAGATATACATCCCTAAATGAACATTTATCCATTAAGTTAATATATACTGCTTCCTTCATTGTACTTATCTTCTAGCAGTACTCTTTGATTTGTTGTTTGAAACTAATCAAGCCAACATCGCCTGGTCAGTACCTAGTTGGGTGACCACTTTGGAATACCAGATGCTGTAAGCTTGGATATGCAGGTGGTATTGGAAATCAGGAAGCTAAATTCCAATTCCAGTGGAATTCATTATATTTATGCACAAATACCTTTGACTCCACCTCTTCTTCCCCAGCTGTGGGTTAATTACTAGAAAACTTATATTAGTAAAAGATTATCATCTCCCAAAAAATTCTTTGCATCTAAGACTTTTCTAGCTTTAACTTGCAAAAGGTTAAGCTGTAAAAAAACAAATCAATCCAGATATATAGAATTAATATAAGTAAAGGTTTGTCAATTAGCTGATTGATATTACCTGTAACATCCCAACTCCAGAGTTTCAGAGATGGACCTATCCATCTACTCTTCAGGATGATATCAGGAATTATATATATATATATATATATATATATATATATATATATATATATATATATTATCTATTATATAGTAATGGCCTGCTTAATTTCAATATAATAAAGGTCTACTAAACCAGATATCTTTTTTTCTTAAACATATATTTTCTTGTTATAGATTTATATAATGAGTGCATTTCAAATGCAAGAGATCTTGGTCTCCGGAACTTTCTCATTGGGTCGGTTTCTCATGTCCAACAAATGGTTGAATCACTATCTTCTGACAAGACAGTAAGTATTACATTTAACCAATCAGTTTTAACACTGATGCATTGGCCTTGTCTGAATGGAATTTTTTTATATATGTATTTTTGGGGATTATAAATTACAAACATTACATATGAGATACAACAAAATAAGGATAGACAAAATGATAATATGCTTTATTTCAGAGAAATGATTGTATATTTTAAAGAACATATATGTATACAGAAATAAAGAAATTTTGCTTAACTGTTGGTAGCAACATGTTTTATCCAGGATGTTTGCCTCCTTTGGCTGTTGAAAAATGGAGAGAAGTTTTAATTTTTGTTTCATTTGATGGTAAAACACTTGTTCTGATGCATCATGGGAGTATGCTATATTTATTCAGTTATAGCTGTATCAAACTTACAGCAACCGCCGTCTGTCTAACTCTGCATTAGCAGGGAGGAACCCGGACGAAGCTTTGCTGAAGGGCAAGGTTTCGTTCGGGGAGGTTGACAGCTCTCGAAC